CTGGGTACAGTCAGAAGCACGGGAGGGTGAGAGAATTCACCAGAGTCAGAGCGGGGAGCAGAGCAGGCAGAAGGACCGAAGTACACTGCTGAGGGGAGCAGCGGGCGGCAGGAGAGGTCTGCGCGCCATTCGGGACCCTCCTCCGGTGGCTGGGGAGCAGCCGGGGATCGAACCGGCGCTGCAGAGGTGCGGGCAGCCTCGCAACCCAGCGCTCAACCGCTGCGCCACCGGGGAGGCCCTCTTTCTTTGCATCTATTAACTGATAAGCTTCAACCTGGTTTTTGTCCAAAGAAAAATTGTGGAATGACAAGCCTTTCATTAACGTCATGTCATCTCCCTCCTCTGCTCTTCTGTTTCCAACATGTGAAGACACTTAAGAGTGGGAGAGATAGGGCCTCCCCTGGCAGGGCAGCGGTTGAGCACTGGGCTGCAAAGCTGCCCACAGCCTCTGCAGTGCCAGTTTGATCCCCGGCCGCTGGTGAAGGTCCCACATGGTGCACAAACTGTACCCAGTGCTTGCATAAATAAATAAATAAGTAAATAAATAAATAAATGATTTTTGAAAATTAAAAGAAAAAAGTGGGGGAGATAAAGGAGGGTGGACTTCTCTGTAGGATAAGGGAGAGACTTTGAGAACCATAGGAGGAGGGGAAGCAGTGTGGCTGGAAGGAAAGGAAAATTGGGGCCCTGCTGTCTGCTATTCCCTTCTTCTGCTCCCCCAGATCTACCCCCCCATCAACGTGCTCCCTTCCCTGTCGAGGCTGATGAAGTCTGCCATTGGGGAGGGAATGACAAGAAAGGACCATGGAGATGTCTCTAACCAGCTGGTAAGAGGAGAGGACCCAGGGGCCTGAGATAAACTGGTTTCAGAAGTTAGAGGTTTGAGCCCTATCTGGATTTGCTCCCCCCCCCCACAAGTATGCCTGCTACGCCATCGGGAAGGACGTGCAGGCCATGAAGGCAGTGGTGGGCGAGGAGGCTCTCACTTCGGAGGACCTGCTATACTTGGAATTCCTGCAGAAGTTTGAGAAGAACTTCATCAACCAGGGTGAGGCGCGTTGGGGGAGGCCAGGGAGTAACACTGTCACCCTGGTTCTCTGCACACACACACTCCTAACGGTCCTGCTCTGTCCCAGGCCCCTACGAGAACCGTTCGGTGTTTGAGTCGCTGGATCTGGGCTGGAAGCTGCTGCGCATCTTTCCCAAGGAGATGCTGAAGCGCATCCCCCAGAGCGTGATCGAGGAGTTCTACTCCCGCGAGGGGGCGCCGCCGGAGCCTGCGTCCGACACTGCGCTCTAGCCCGCGCGCCCTGGGCCTGGGGGCAGCTCCTGCGACCCTGCCCTTGGCTTTCGGCCCTCCGCCAAGGTCCCGCACGTCTGAACCAACCCGTTCCCAGTCTACTCACCTGCTAGAGGAGAGAACTAGGGGGTAGGAGGGAGGGGGTTGGGGGAAGGGGGAGGTCGGTAGAGGGATGCGGTGGGGGAGTGCGGAGCATTGGGGCTGCGGGGATTAGAGGGATGGGAGGGTACTCCTTTGCCCATGCCTTTCCCTGGATTCTTGGCACTGGAAAAATAGAATATTAAACTTGTATTCTATGTTTAGCTCTATCTAGAACTTTATGTTTTTATTTTATTCTTTTAAGATTTGTTTATTTATGCATACAAGAGCCGGGGTACAGGCCAGAGATGCAGTGGGGTGAGAGGATTCACCAGAGACAGAGTGGGGAACAGAACAGGCAGACTGACTGAAATATGCTGCTGAGGGGAGCAGCAGGGGAGTCAAGAGGGGTCTGCCGCACCATGTGGGTTGCTCCTTCCCCAGCCAGGGGTTGAACTGGTGCTGCAGAGGCTGCGAATAGCTTCATAGTGCTATGCCTAACCCATTGCACCACCAGGGAGGCCCTGTTTTTTTTTAAAAAGGCTTCCAAATAAGAAGCAACTGAATTGAAAAATTTACCTTATATGAAAGCCATTGATAGTTGAAGATGAGGGTGATGTGTAGATGAGGTTCATTAAACTATTGGCTCCACTTTATAACAACACTGCCGCCGCCACCATGACTGTATTTTGTTTTGTTTTGTTTTTTAAGAGATTTATTTATTTATTTATTTATGCCTAGAAGAACTGGGGTGTAGGTCAGAGGGGTGGGGCAGGGAAGCGGGAGAGGGGTGGTGAGAGGATTCACCAGAGTGGGGAGCAGAATGGGCAGATCTACTAAAATACACTGCTGAGGGGAACAGCAGCCTGTGAGACAGTAGAGGTCTGCTCTGCCTATGGATTAGCTCCCTGGCTGGGGATCAAACTCTGGCAGTAGAAGTTATAGCTCTGAGACTAACCTCTGTGCCACCAGGGAGGCCACCATGACTATGTGTTGACAGCTGATAATACAATTCCTCTTAGAAAGCTATTTATCATTCTTAAGAAATATCTTCATAAGTTTCCTGGGTAAAATCTTGAGTTCAGAGACCATGGAAAGGAGAGTCAGGTCCACAAAAAGGTGTGTGTGACTCTAAATAATTTGGGGGAGGGCCTCCCTGGTGGCACAAGGGGTTAAGCATCAGCACTATGAAGCTCTCCACAGTTACTACAGCACGAGTTTGATCCCCAGCCAGGGAGGTGACCCACATGGCGCGGCAGACCTCTCCTGTCTTGCCTGCTGCTCCCCTCAGCAGTGTATTTCAGTACATCTGCCTGTTCTGTTCCCCACTCTGTCGCTGGTGAATCCTCTTACTCCCTCACCCCTGGCAACCCGCACCTCTGGCCTACAGCCCAGCTCTTGTATGCATAAATAAATCAATCTTTAAAAAAAATAATCTGGGGGATTTGGTGTGCTTCAGAGAAGGGAATTGCCGGAGCAACATGGAGAGAGTGCAGATGGCTAAGGAAAGGTCCCCCAGTTAGGAAATGGGTGAAGAATACCTAAAAGCCAGGTTATGCTGTTTTGAAAACGACCTCTCCCTCTGTGCTGTCCCTGACTCCTGTCCCCTCTGCCCCATCTCCAATGAAGTCGGGAGAGTTTCCTAAGAGGCAGGTGTGGGTTGAGAGGATAGAACTTCAGCAAAGGGCTGACTGCTATTTCTGGGTCAAAGTGTTGTGGACAAGTTCAGAATTCTTGCTTCAAGAGCTGACACCAAAGGAAGCCCCAAGACTCCAAGTCCCAGTGACAAGACAGCGCAGGGCCATTTTGGGGGAGGGAAGGAGAAGCTTTGGAGGAAAGCTTTTGGGTGTCTACAGGTCATGGGGTTGTTTTTATTTAGTAACAGCTTTATTAAGATATAATTCACATACCATACAATTTACTTACATTTAATATTTTTTCATATATTCATAGTTGTGCAGTCATCACCCCCATCAATTTTAGAACATTTTGTTACCTCAAAAAAGAAACAAACAACATGTATTCTTGGCTACTGTCAATTATAAAAAGTTAAAAAGCCAAACTGAGGAAAATATTATTAACATCAAAGATATATAAGGGGTTACTATGTTAAGCTTTGCAAATCAATAAGAAACACATTAAGACTCAGAATAAATAAAATAAATTTTATCAACAAGTAGTGAGACAGAAGAAACAAGTAAGAAACAGAAGAACACTGATAAATAGCTCTTGCTAGTAATCAAGAGCTCAAATGAGATCACCATTTCTACCACCAAATACCAAGCATGTATTTAAAACAATGATATCCAGTGCCAACAATGTTTCAAATGGTTCATTTTTTTAAAGATTTATTTATTTATGCATACAAGAACTGGGGTACAGCACAGAGGTGCAGAACGTGAGAGGATTCACCAGAGAGAGGGGAAGAGAATAGGCAGACTGACTGAAATACACTGTTGCTCCAGTGGGTGAGACAGGAGAGGTTTGCTGTGCCAGGGATGGAACTCGTGCTGCAGAGGCTTCGGATAGCTTCATAGTGCTGTGCTTAACCCCTTGTGCCACCGGGTAGGCCCCTCAAATGGTTCACTTCTTTTTTTTTTTTTTTTTTTAATAGAGGCATTTTGTTTGTTTGTTTGTTTGTTTTTGTATATACAAGCACTGGGTACAGTCAGAAGCGCGGGAGGGTGAGAGAATTCACCAGAGCCAGAGCGGGGAGCAGAGCAGGCAGAGGGACCGAAGTACACTGCTGAGGGGAGCAGTGGGCGGCAGGAGAGGTCTGCGCGCCATGTGGGACCCTCCTCTGGTGGCCGGGGAGCAGCCGGGGATCGAACCGGCGCTGCAGAGGCCGCGGGCAGCTTCGCAACCCAGCGCTCAACCGCTGCGCCACCGGGGAGCCCTCAAATGGTTCACTTCTAACAGCACATTAAACAAATAGCGCTTAGAGCAGGCTGGCTCTCACTGCTCCTTTGCTTGTGAAGTAGGAACTATGACCCCCACTTTGCTGATACAGAAACTAGCAGAAACTTTGATGCCCAAAGCTACTTTGATGTAATATGCTTACATTTAAGTAGAACTTTCTACCAGCAGGTAGAGCCTTGTTGGAGGGCAGTTTGGAAACATATCAACAGCTAAAAAAATATTCAATCCCTCTCACTTGGTAGTTCTACTTCCAGGAATCCATCCTAAGAAAACAACCAGAGATGAGCCATTTTGTTTTCTTCAACATATAAAGTGACAGCGCACCTATTATGATGCTGGGCTATACTTGTGTCATAAAGTGTATTTAGAATGTGGAATGACAGTGAGAGCTCATAATATAAGGCCAGGTTAAAATATGTACAAAAATTCATGTAGGACGTGTGTGTGTGTGTGTGTGTGTGTGTGTGTCTTAATACACCATAATTTCCGTGGGTGGTGGAATTGGGGGTTATAATTTCTCCGTTGTACTTTTGTCTGCTTTTTAAATCAGCACTTAATCAGAAACAAAAGCTGTGTCTTCAGGTTTTGGGGGGCGGGGCTGCGCGCAAGCGGGAGAGCATTTGATACAGCCTTCTGGGATGAGGGGGCTGGGATGACGGTACTGGCCTCGGCAGGGGCCCTGGGGGACGCGCCGCCCCAGCTGCCCCACGCGGAGCTGGAGTTCCAGCGAGCAGGCGCGCAGAGTAGGTCACTCCCGGACACACTCAAGAGCGGTGGAGCGGAGCACAGCCCCTGCCGACAGCCAGAGGGGAAAACCTTCCTGATGGTCACTGGGAGTAATGAAGGGCTCCAGCTGCTTAGATGGACCGGGACTAGAGAGCCTGCTGCAGGGTTCAGAATGGCTCGGTGCTTCTCTGGAGAGGCAAGTCCTGGAGCCTCCGGGCTGTGGTGGGGTGCCAGAAGCCTGTGGAGCGACTGGGGCTGGGGCTTGCCTCCTGAGAGGGGCCCAAACAGCCTGACCATGAGCCTCCACACTGCCCAGATGACCCCCTCCACCTCCACTACTCTGGCCCCCATAAACGCAAGATTGGGGTGCTGCCCCTCAGCTGCCGGCTAGAACCCAGTGGCCACCTTCTTGTTCACTTTCCTTTCTCCCCTCACCCTTGCTGGGACTCTAGCCTGTTGCATCAATGGGACGCAGCCGAGATCGGGAATTATTATGAATTCTTCGCAGCTGGATTGGGTAACCTGGAATGGTTGCGGTTCTGTCTGAATAGCAAACAAAATGTAATCCTGAAGGATGGCAAGGTAAGGCCTTGAGGTGCAGGGTCCTCCTCACCCGCCACCCCACCAAGGGCTCCTCCATAGTGGTCACCTTGGCAAGCTCTGCCTATAATGTATCCAGGGATGACCTTTTTTGTCGGGATGATCCTGATTCACCTTTGCACCATGGGATGGCCATTTAGGGGGGCAGCCAGGAAGGCTGAGCATATGCAGGGAGTCAGAAATGGTGTGAGCAATTGTGGAGTTGGGGGTACAGATTACAGAGGAAGGGCAACTCCTAGAAAATGCTATCCAGGTTACGTTGTGAACCGCAGGGCCCAATGCTACTCAACCTCTTCCTGCCACAGGGTTTCACTGCCATCCACTTTGCAGCCCAGAATGGTAAGCTTGCCAGCCTGCGGGTCCTGATAGAGGAGTACCAATTTCCCGTGGACCTGCCTACTAACAATGGCCAGACACCCCTGCACCTTGTCATCCAGCGAGACAACAAGACCATGACCCTCCCCTGCATTCTCTACTTGCTCCAGAAAGGAGCTGCCCTCAACGCGTGAGTCCAGCCTGCATCTGGAGAGTGGCCGGGAGGCTGGGCTGATAGGAACCCCACTCTCAGGTAGGGCAGATTCATGCAGGACAGGCAGAGGGGCCGTGGGGTGACAAGCCCGGGTCCCACATAAAGCAGTCAGTGAGCCCACGTGCTCCAGTAAAGAGACACAACTTTGGAAAAGAAAGACTTGGTTCATGTGCCAGCTTTACCACCTGGTAGCACACATCAAGACCTTAAGCAATTGCTCAACACTAAACTTCAGTGATCTGGTTCCCTGTTGGTACATTGGAATCAACTGGGAAGTTCAAAAATCCAATGCCTATGTTCTAATGCAAAGATTGTAATTTATTTAGGGTGTGACCTTGGCTTGGGAAGTCTTATTTTTTTAAGATTTATTTATTTATACATACAAGAGCTGGGGTACAGGCCAGAGGTGTGCGTGGGGGGTGAGAGGATTCACCAGACAGTGGGGAACAGAACAGGCAGATTGACAGAAGTACACTGCTGAGGGAGCAGTGGGCGAGTCAGGAGAGGCCTGCTGCACCATGTGGGTTGCTCCCTGGCCAGCGGATCGAACTCGTGATGCAGAGGCTGCAGAGAGCTTCATAGGTTGCGGACAGCTTCATAGATTGTGTCTTAACCCCTTGCGCCACCAGGGAGGCCTGGTTTTGGAAGTCTTAAAAGATTCCCAGGAGTTTCTAATTTGCAGCAAAGTTTGGGAACTATTGCCTTAGTGTCTTCAGCTGAAATTTGGGAGGATGACATGACACTTGTGATAATTGAGAAAATGCATGGAAAGTGCACGGACGGCATATAGGAGATTGCCTACGTTCAAAACATGTACAGAGCATGCCCTGCGTTTACTGCAGTGAACACACAAAGCTGGTAGACTCATGCAGGAGCACCAATGTATTGGACAGTTGTAGCGACAGGAAGGCCACAGTGCAGGATCTCTATGATCCAAGCAGATGGGTAAAAGAGAGAGTCCTGGAGCCCTCAGTGGCTTTTCAGGCTTTTATTACCATTTTACCAGATACACGACAGGCAGGGAAGCCCGGGGGCTGGGGTGGGGGGCGATGCCGGGAGGCTGGCAGGCCTCCCAGCCCTGGGCGAATCTTCCCTCTTCCTGGACTCTCCGGCGTTCTCTCGTGGACTCGTTCTCTCTTTTCTGCTTCTCTTTCTCGTAGTTCTGTCCCGCAACACCACCCTTAAAAGCCCTGTCTCAGCCCAGGTGTACCCACCTACCCATGCCCACACCCCACTCCAGGCATGCATTCAGGACCTCGGGGATCCATCATCAACGCTGATGGCGGGAGGGCAGAAAACCTGATAATTACTTACCCTACAACAGTAAATTAGCAACCGATAAATGAATAAAATGGCAGAGTGCTAATGGTTAGGAAAGAAATTTCTAGGCCAGTAGGGTGGGGAGCAAAGGGGACAGGGAGAGGATCTACTTTGGAAGCAAGTAACCTCTAAGGTGATAAATAAATTGCAATCTGAAAACTGAGAACAAGTCAGCAGTGCAGAGGCAGGGAAAAGTGGTCCAGGCAGAAAGGTTAGCATGTGCAAAGACCATGCGTTAGGAAAGAGTGGGGTAAGGCCCAGGTCACACAGGCCTAGTGGGTCATGGCTGGCATGGGGAAGTGACAAAAAGACTGGCTGATTTAAGAGCAGATGATGTTTTTTGTAGTCTCTGTGCTCCAGCCAGCCCAACTTTCCTCTAGTAGTTAACTGTCACATACCTCCCATAATCAGGTGTTTGCTGTTCATTTAGTCCAAACCCTCCTATAGTCAAGGAAATTGAGGTACAGAGAGGAGAAGGGGGAACACGGCCAGGGTTACCCACTCAGCAGGTAGCAGGGCAGGCCTGGGAACTGGCTGGTCTACCTATCTGATGCACAGATGCTCTTTGTCCTTTGTCCTTTTGGGCGGGGGGAACCTCCAGTGAGACTTGCAACGGCTCCACACCCCTGCACCTGGCAGCCCGAGAGGGCCTGCTGAGCTGTGTGAAGGTCCTGGTGCAGAACGGTGCCAACATCTATGCCCAAGATGCCATGGGCCGTAAGCCCATCGACTACTGCATAATATGGAACAACCGCGACTGTGCCAGGTGAGGGTGTGAGAACCACTCACGACCTGCCACCCCTTCCCTCTCCCAAGCCTTTGAGAGGAGGGTCTGGGGAGCCAGATGGCCAGAGCAGCACCCTCTCCAGGATATTATTCATCCCACAAAGTTATTCGCAGGGCATTCCACAGGCCCTCTCCCCTTTGGGTTCAGCATTGTCCTTCTCCCTTGCCCTGGGGCCCCTAACTCCTCAGCGAGAGGACGGTGATCAGACTATCAGAAGCTTTCGTCTCTCACCTCAAAGGAAGTAGCCAGGGGGGCCCTGGGCAGTGGGGCTAGAGGGTCATCTGGTTCATCTATCTCTGGAAGCTCCTCCTCCCCCTATCCAGGCCCTCAGCAGCAGCCAGTCTGCCCAGTCCAGGTTAAAGTTCAATTACTGGGGATTGACACACCCCTACCTTGGCACCAGGTTCTTGAAAGATGCCATGTGGAAACAGGACAAGAAGGACTTTGCCCATGAAATGAGGAAGCTGAAGAAGCTCAAGAACCAGCTGGCCCTCATGGAGTACAACTACCTGATTGAGTATCAAGTAAGGGTTAGGCTGGGCAGGGAGTGGGCAGCAGCTGTAATCCAGGTATGTGAGTAGAGGGGGCAGTGACTGTGCGGTTGGTTGGAGAAGTGACTGGCACTAATCCCTTTGACTGAAATCTCACGCTTAGAAGACACTCCTTTAGGTTAAAGTCCCATCCTACACTAGAAAGCAGATACAAGCTTAAATTAACAAGTATTTATGGAGCCCCCCCTAGTGCACTGCCTCCTCCTGGATGAGGAGAATGTCTAATGAGATCCAGGCCTCACCTATATTGGGACTCGCAATGGTTAAAAAGGTTCATCCTTCTAACAGACACTGAGCACTCACTGCCTTCTGAGCATCCACTAGACAAAGAAAGATGAGATGCAGTCCCCTCACTTAAGGAGTTTAGAGTCTACATTCTCCTAGAGGAGGAATCTTTAAATGGGTAGCAACTGACCACATAAAGTAGGGAAGGGCTAACCAGACAGAAAGAACAGTGCTATAGAAAGGCACAGAGAGGCATGCTGGGAAGTAAAATTCCAGTAAGTATATCAGGAGCTTGGGTGTGAGCTGGAAGTTAACCAGCCAGAGACTTGGCAAGTGCCCAGATAAATGGCAGACCTTGGCTAGGGAAGAAAAGAAGGGGTAACAAAAGAATTTTAAGCAGGTATATTTACACAGGGTACAAGAACCAGAAATCTCAGAAAGAAGATGCTGGAAATCCTAAGTGGATGCAGAAGTGGGGAAGGCTTCCTGGCTAAATACAGTACTCTGGCTCTGTTCCATCTGCATTTGTCCAGTTTTCTCTGCCCCATCCTCCAGTCTACACAGTCACACACGTGTCTGGAGGAGGCAAAATCCATCTGTTCCTGAGGCTCCTAGTTCTCCCAGGAGCCCCTCATAGACGTCATCCCTTATTGGCCTCAATTGGATCACGTGTTCATTCTTTCAATCCCTAGAGCTAAAGCAGAGCTGAGTGACTCAGGTAGGGGGAAAGGCTGATGGAATTATCTTGATTGGCTTAGCCTAGTCAGAGCCTACCTCCAAGCTGGATCAATCTTCAAGCAACCCGACTGCTCAGCAAGAGTCTGGAAATGTAGACATTGAGATGGGAGGGTGGGAAGGGGTGATTCTGTGACAAGCTGAAGGAGCAACACTAGCAGAGAAAAGCACAGAAAGCTAGACCAAGTCTTCACCACCATGCTGGGGTTAGCCAACTATATCCCCCCTTATATGACTGCTCAAGGCTACCATTTCCAAGAAACCTGCCCAGATTAGCTCCACCCAGTTCCATGCCTTCCAAACCTTTCTGCTTTTTCCTTCCAGGATCTAGGATGCAGTGTACACTCCTACTTGACTTCTAACCTCTCTCCCCCCAATCCCAAGGAGTCTGTTAGCGCAGGACATATGTCCTATCAGACAGGGGTCTCCTGTAGGGGGCCAGAAGCTAGTTTCCACCATAAGATTCAAGGTTTCCCATGGGGTAGGGATGGCTGTCTCTCCCCAGAGACCTCACATAAGACGGAGGCTGTATCACCATGAGAGCAGAAGTGTCCTCTATGGGAGAGGCTCTGTTGCCCCATCAGCCTAAGAGGCTCCTCCATCAAGAACAAGGGCTCCTCTAAGACAGGGTTTTCTCCCACTAGACTCAAGATTCCCCTGGGGCTGGACAGTATGTGGTCCATTAGACCTAGGTTTTCTTTCTTTCTTTCTTTTTGAAGATTTATTTATTTATACAAGAACCAGAGTACAGGCCAGATGCGTGGGAGGGTGAGAGGATTCACCAGAGACAGAGCGGGTAACAGAACAGGCAGACTGACGAAATACACTGCTGAGGGAAGCAGTGGGAGAGACAGGAGAGGTCTGCCATGTCATGTGGTTCACCTCCCTCGCCAGCCAGGATAGAACCCGCTCTGCAGAGGCTACAGACAGCTTCACAGTGCTGTGCTTAACTGTCTGCGTCATCAGGCAGGCTCTAGACCTAGGTTTTCTTATAGCCACAGGGGGAGCAGCCCTCCATGACTAGCTTGTGCCCTCTGATGTTGCAGAAAGAGCACCAAATTCTGAGAGAAAGAGATTTCAAGAAATGGCTCCACCGCAAGCTGCTGCAACAATATGCTGAGCAACAGCCCCGTGCCCAGGCCCATGCCCTACCCCAGGTTGTCGCTCGCTCCAAGACACCCAAGCACCAGGGATTGTCACCTCCCAAGAGTTTCCACCTCTCCCCAGAGGCACGCCTTCGACAGATACTACAGTACAAGCCACAGCCCTTGGTGCAACCCATATCCCTCACCACTCAGCCCATGGTCACTCGGCCCATGGTGTGGAATTTTAGCAACAACCCTGCCCGATCCCCCACCACCCAGATCAGCTACCCACAGGGCATCCGCCTGGGCGTGCATCCAGACCCCAGCCTGGAACGTGACCTTAGCAGCTTCCTGGAGGTGAGGTCAGATGGGCATGGTGGTGCGACACTGCACACAGTGGCCGGTGACCAGATGGCACCTCTGCCCCGGCTGCCCTTCGAGGTGATAGTCCACACTCTGTGCCCTTCGGTGCAGCCAGAGAGGATGAAGGTGCCCCAGGGCTTCTGCTCTGTCAGCATGAAGGATGTGCCCCAGAAGCGACACTGGGACAACACTTTCTGGACCGACACTCTGGCCATGAACCTGCGTGAGACATTTGACGAAGCCTTCCTGGCAGCCCTGGAAACCCGTCAAAGGTTCCCCACTCTGCCCTCCCCCAAAACTCCTCCATAAACTTGTTTTTGTAGCCTCTCGACCTGTGAAGTCTGAGGTGTGGTGATTCATGTTGTGGATGGGAAACAAAACAGGGAGGAGTACCCGAGGCTTCCCACTCCCAGGTTCAAGGGTAAGAGCCCCATCCCCCCAACAAAAGTCTGGATTCCAGATCTCACTTCTCTCTTGGATTCTTCTGGAGATCCATGTTAGGGCAGAAGTCCAAGACTCAGAGTAGGGACCAGTTTCTACCCTGGGCCCAAGCATTGTAAATATGACTCTGGTGTCCCATTGCTCCTGCCCACCCCCGACTAGCCCAGCAGGGACCAGGCTTCCAGCATGGAGGCGCACTGGGAAAATCTGCCTCTTGCTGCTGTAGGACTAAGCCTCACTCTTCATTGCAGGCAGAAGTCAGCTAATACATCACCCTGGCATGTGCTGCTATCATGGGCTGTCATCCTTCATTGCCAGCTACCACTGGGGTTTCTACAGTTCAGGGTAGCACAGGCAGCCCATTGTGGGGGAAGAAGGACCTATAGCTTCAGTCTGAGACTGAAAGTACTTGTCCTTCTGCCACAAAGCTATCCTGGATCCCCTGCTATGCCCTGCACACATCACTACAAATCGTTCATTAAACAAACATTTATTGAATGCTTTCTATGTGCTAGGCACCAAGCCAGGTGCTGTTGATACAAAAATTGGACAGTTCCTGCCCTCAAGGAGCTTACAGTCTAGTGGGGAGATAGACCAGTAAGTAGGCAAATAAGCCCAGAGTGATCTGTATGGTATGTTGGAGAAGAGGGGCTATTCAAAGCTCCTTGAAGAAAGTGAAATCTAAGTTGAGAACTGACAGAGAAGATACCCAGAGGAAAGGGGAAATCAAGGTGGCACCTTGATACAGAAGGCCGAGAGCAAGGAGTGCAAGGTGGCATGTCATGAGGCCAGAGAGGCAAGCAGAACCAGGACACCATGAGTCTTACAGGCCATGCTAAGGGGTCTGGACTTTATCTGGGGGGCAGTGGAAAGCCATGAAGGTTGTAGACTAAGGAGTGACTTGATCAGCTATGCAGTTTAGTTGTGGGATAAAGAAGCCGAAAGAGGCTGTCATAATCATCAGCGAAAACTGATGACAGAGTGGCTCAGAGATACTAAAAAAGGTATATTTTACAGTTTTTAGAGACTGGATGTGGGGGCAGGAGGAAGTAGGAAGACAAAACAGGTTTCTGTCTGGCTCCTGAGTGATGTTGGGGCCACAGTAAGTGCCCCAAAGAGGCAAGTTTGTAGAGGATGGACAGAAGTGCCCTCTGGGCCATGAGAGTTGTCTCTACACCCAAAAGGCAGCAGAACTGTGGCTCAGAAGACCAGGAAGGATGTTGGGGCTGGAGATGAACTCTCAGTTCCTCAGCACTCCTTGAAGCCATCGGCATGGATGGACTCCTCCAGGGAGCCCCTGACAGAACCCTGAGAAACCCCACTGTGCATGGGGCAAGACGCCTGCACGGGAAACTGAAAGAAGCAGTCAGAGGTAGGAAGAAAACCTGCCACGGAAGGGCCAGGGGCATGGGAGTCAAGAAGCTGGTGATTAGCCCTGTTAGATGCTGCAGCTCCAGTAAGATATGAAAAGGGGCCACTGGATTCAGCACAGGCCATGGGGAATCTCTGGAAGCACTGGAACTGCAATGAGGATGACAGTGGCCTCCAGTGTCCTCTCCCTTGTCCGTATAGGATAAAATGGCCTGGCAACCATAATCCCAACAAGAGAAGACCAAGATGTGCTACTCTGTCCAAGGAAAAGGGAAGGCTCATCTTTTTAAGAGAGTGGGAAATGCTAGAGTCAAGGAAATGAGGGGCTATGGTGGGACTTGAGGCGGGATGTGAAGGGAAGATTTTCAAGCACAGGGATCTTCCCTGTGACTTCAAGGTACATGTGTGCAGTCCATCTCTGCGTCTGCCAGCCTTGAACTGAGGTATGGGACATGGCCAGTAACTCTCATGGGGGCTTCATTCCAGTATGTACCCTTGAGTACTTGCAAGGCACTGTAGTCAGAGTGCAAAGTCAGTGGATGCTGGTCTGTGCCTGGGAGGTAGCCCTCCTTCTTAGAAGGCTAAGGTCATCTCCCAGGGCCAAGAAGAGGCCCTGTGTGCTCTTACAGTGACAAACAGCTTCTCCCACCAGTCCTACTTCTTGAGAAACAGGCTGTAGCTCAGGATGCCTGGAAGCCAATTTTTATTTTGTTTCTCCTTGAGCTGGAGATAGAATTCAGGCAGAAACTACTCTCTCTCCCCAAGGGAGACATAAACAGAATACTATATAGATGTTCTTTTCAAAATCTAACCCAGTCGCAAATTGTCCCCCCTCAAACCCCAGCTTAACAGCCATGGAGCCTTGGGGAAAGAAGACACAGAAGAGAGGGGCATAAGAAAGGGTGTCCCCACCTCCACTCCCGGTCCCCCCTGACCAGGCTCAGCTCCTGATTTCTGCCCCTTTTCCACCAACCATCATAAGATCAATCCCTTCAGAAGGAAAAGACCCTAACCCAGAAAAGGAGTGCCTGGAGCAGAAAAGCCAATGCAGTCCAGGGCAGAAGGTGAGCAGGATGAAAGGAAGAGTAACTTTCAGGGCATTAAGGCAAACAGTGCCACCTAAAATCTTTATTCAAATGGGAATCAGCACTTGGACAGAAATCACAGTTCAACAGCAAAAACTTTCTCTTAGAAGTGCTGAGCCATCGCCCTCCCCAAGGCCATCTGCCCCAGAGAACTCATCACTGTCTGCTCTCCAGCTTCATGGCCCCTGCCCTGCCTGCCCCAGCTGAGTCAGAACCTCCGGACCCACCACAGACAAGAAGCTTGGAGGGCCACAGGGAGCTCAGCTGCTGTACAGCCACATGGACCACAGCCTCCTGGCTAAGCAGGCTCTGCCATCCTCCCTGGCTCCCTGAGGTCACAGCCTCAAACAGTATCAGATCTGAGCCAAGCTCAGCCCCTCGTGGATGGTGGAGATGGGGGCTTCAGGGACAGTCCAGGGCTGAGGGAAAGCGCCTTCCAGGTTCCCGGCCCCCACCTAGTGCAGAGGCACAGGGGCCTGACTCTCCTACTCTTGCCCCCAAGTCCCCTCCCCAAGAAGTTCAGTACATCTTCTGTCGACTGGGCAGGATGGCCTCTTTGATGAAGGAGAAGACAACCAGGATCCCTAAGCGTTTTCCCCGCTTGCCTTTGGTGAAGTAATTGGAGACCACGTCATCTGTGGAGACACAGGCAGGGAGATGAGTGCGTATGTATCTGAATGTGGACACAGCTCTCCCCACCTGGAGCACAAGGGTCTCCATCACAGGGTTGGGATCCAGCAACTCAGCCAACTTGCGGGCATCCTCCCACCATGACCCCTCACAAGCCCCTTCTCACCTCCTGGCTGCACGGTGGAGGGCAGGACGTTCTCCCCAGCCGACAGTGACACAAAGAACGCAAATGGGATTATCCACAGACAGAAAGTGAAATAGGCCAGGACCTGGCAACAAGAGACACTGAGAAGAAGGTGTCCCCTGAGGCACCAGGGGTGGGCGGGTAGGCAGAGTCACCACGTGTCCTAGAGAGTGGTCAAGAGTGGTCTAGGCCCCGGGAAGCAGAGACATATCCTCAGACATGGAGATAATCCAGTGGGGGAGGTGGAGGCTGAAAATAACCCAGTGGGGCATACTCCCTAAATCTCAGTCACTGGGACAAACAACTCCTGAACAGAAGGGGGCTGATGAAGGGCAAAACCATGACTGACCCACCTCCCTAAAGAAGCAACCTTGTTCTCCCCTGTGGGTCCAAACAGAGGTACAGAGTATGGAGAAATCCTGAAAGGAAGCCTCAGCAAGCCACTGGGAGAAGCCAGGATCTGGGGCTGCAGCCCATCCTGCCCTGCACCGTCTGTGTCGGACAAGGTCACTCCAGTGTCCCTTCTTGGACTCGGGAGTGTTAGGCTAGGATCCTGGGGAGACCCAAAGGTCTGGTGGAGGCAGTATCTTCCCTGCTTGTGCCAAAGGAATACCTGCTGCTCATGTCCACACTGCTTCCCAAAGGCATCTATACTATGTTTTTAAAAAGATGTTATCCATGAACAGACTCAGTCTCAAGTCAATTCACAAAGCCAACCATACAAGCCCCTCCCTCCACACATACACACCATCCTTGTTAATAGCTTCCTGTACTTAACACTTCTTACCTCTGAGAAAGGATAATATTCTTCGGCAAAAAACTGAAAGGCTAGATAATGATTCACCACCACTAGTCCTGTTGAGGGAATAAAGAGTTGGTGAGTTTGGCAGGGGAAACATAAAGCTGGACTTTTAATGCTCAAAACCATTCCTGGGTGTTGGGAGCCCCAAGTCTAGTCCTGACTTTGCACTGAACTCAGAGTTTGGCTATAGCCACGCACACAACGCTCCAGAACTCAATTTCTCATCTGTTACAATGAGAGAATTAGCCCCCTCCTGCCCACTGCAGAGGAAATTGAGGAGTAAAATTAGAAGGTAGATAAAAAAGCTCTTTGAATGCTATAAAAATGGAACTTCAGTGTTACATCACCTGAGGCACCGTGACAATTAACCTGGTTTTCAGTGGATGTGAGTCCTGAAGAGAACCCTGCCTGGGAGGTGGGTGAGGGAGTCACAGGTGTGCAGGCACATTCCCTGAAAGTCCACTCCCAACTGGGCAGTGAGGAGAGCCCTTCTCAAATAGAGGCTCTCACCCCTCAGGATAAAAGGGTACAGTTTGCTAGGCATTTTGGGGTAGTCTTAAGGTTCTTCAGAATTCAGGGCAGAGCGTCCATCCTCATCCTGCCCAGGAAACACCACACTGGTCTAAATGGCTATTTTCTAGACACACAAGTACCGGAATTTAGTGTGCAGTCATATATGGAAGAGATAGGAGCAGGTCCTGGGGACAGGCTGCTCAGAGACAGGCACCCCTGCCTGTGCCACGGTTAAGGTGAAGAGCAGGCACCAGAACAAATCCCTCCACAAGAAAGCACCCCTTTGTCTCTCCCATTTTAAGGCAAAGACCCCAGCTCTGCCCTGCTAAGTCGAGTGAGTACTGGAAGATAGAATGATGTCTAATACCCACAAGATCTTTAAAAAAAACTCTCAGGCACCTAAGGGGCAGGACGGGACAGTGACAAAGGGGAAACAGGGAAACCTGCTGCTGGAGGTGAGGGAGAACCCTCCCCACTGCGAAGAGGCAGAAGGGATCCAGTCTCTACACCAACCACCCTCTGAACAAATTCTTGGGTGATTCACCCAAGGCACTCAGGGAAGCGACCAATCCTAAGTTTAACACTTGTGCTCCCTATAGATCAGGGTCTCTTCCAGGTTTTCCCACAGAAATAGAAAAGTCACCCTAAAAAAACCCCAGTTCCATCTGATATCCTGACCAAAGGCTAGGATGATCAGGAATGACAAATGGGAGAAAAAGCAATCCTGGTAATCAGATACTTTTCAGAACCTTTTCTGCAAGTATCTATAAACATCTGTAAGCATCTACTATGTATCAACTAAGTATCCTAAATATCATCTTTGAACCAAAGGAAAAACTAAGGCCCAGAGAGGAAAAAGGACTCCCTAGAAAGTGGCAGCAGGGGAAAGGCAGGAAGGCCAGAGTCCTCCAAACACATGGGTCAACACCAACCCCAAGACAGCGGTAAGCAGGGGCCCAGCCCTAAGAGGCTCCAGTCTTCATCATGGCTTTGCCAGAGGACTAGATGGGGAGCTACCTGACTGTCAGGAAAGAATTTTGGGCTTTTCCTGGCCATGTGGTTCCTCAGGGGCTAAAACCACTCAGTCAACCCACTTCTCTCTTCCCAAACCCTTTCAAACTTACCTCCCTGGGAAAGTCCTCCTTTGTCTGAGTATCCCAGCCCACCTCCAAGCCCGACTCCCACCAAATTCTCATCACAAGAGCCATGGTGGGCAGGACCCTGTCTTCCCCATTGGCCTGGTCTCCTGGAGGTCCTCTATGTTTTTGCCTCTTCTCTCTATCCCCTTCAGTGCCCAACCAACCTCAGCTGCCTCCCCAACACTGCCCCTTCTCACCGCATGACAGGATGAAATTAGGCGAGGTCAGCATGATGAAGGGGAAGGTCTGGAGGAGGCCAAAGTAGACGAGGTTGGTGAAGAGGCCCACGCCAATCATGCAGGTGGGGAAGCGCTCAAAAACGTAGAGGCCAATCAGCACAGCTGTGGAGAACTGAAACAACCAGAGGCACACAGTGCAGGAAGCCTCTTCCAAGCAGCCTTCCTGGACTCACTAACTCCCAGCCCACTCAGGGCAATCGTAGGTCCATGATTTATTCTCTCCTTATTTCACCATCATAGGATAAACTCCCTAGCTAGTAGTGTCTCAGCTCCCAGTGAGAAGCATTTTTAATGTTATTTCTTAAAAGTTTTTTGACAGCAACCCATAGTAAAAAACAGCAGCACGCCCGTCCCCGCCACATTTTACACCAAGACCCCAACATACATATACATATATGGGATCAAATTTCAAATTTTAATTCTAGTCTTTTTTTATTCAATTTTTTAAAGGAAAGTGCAAATCATGACCTACTGAACTGGTTACATAACCAAATGATGAATCATAGCTACATTTTGAAAAACACTGTTCAGAAGGACTTAAGAGTTGTCAATGCTTAACAAATGGTAACTAGTTGAATGACAGTCTAATTCTTATACCAATATCCATGAGCTAGGCCTCTGACCCCAGAGCTCAGAGCCATGGTCTTTATCTACCATTAACTCCCTACTTTAGGTCATGCCCAAAATGGAAGAGGCTGTTGACATCGAGACACTGGACCATTCTGTCCAAATGTGCCCTGCTCGCCTTCATGGTGGCTGGCATAACTCTATCCACCAACAGTCAATCCCGTGGCTTTGACATCAATGGCAAGGATTGTGTCTTTAGGCAGAAAAGGCTTCCATGAGACCAAGGGAGGGCAGGGCCTGAGTCAAGGAAGGGATCTCCTTCTTAGGACAAGTTGCTTGATCCAATTAGAAAGAAGGCAAGAACAAGTACTCAACTGTCCTTAAGGTTCCTCCATGGACTAAATGATGGGAGCAGAGCAAGGGGCTAGAGACGATGGAAGACAGCCAAGCAAAGGCAAAGCCATGGTCCTATCCACAGAGAATGTGCACTCAGCTGTTACCTTAAGGAACCAAGAGTGGGGTGTTCAGTGAAGCAGTACCACTCCAGGAAGGCCAGGGAAGACCTGGGCCTGGGAGAGCAGCCCCAGGAGACAAGATACAGGGCAGGGAGGTAGGGGTAGTAACCTCAGGTCACAGGAGGGAGAGAGCTCACCATCCATGCCAAACTTTCCCTACTTCCTTCTGATGTGGCAGAGCAAAAGAGTGAGAGGGGAGCCCAGGGAAAGGTGCTACTTACCCAGATCATGTATTTTATGATCCTGCTGGTAGCTACTGTGTATTCTTCGATTAGCTCTGCCAGGTAATAAAGTCCAGCCGCTGGAGGGACAGGAAAAGGGACAACAAGGGGAACATTAGCCAGCATCACTCCCACCATCCTTTTCATTCCTCTCTTTGCAGCTGGGTCCCCCTCAACCCTTCATGGATTCCACAAAGTAAAGAACAAACCAAACAACCCATGTGTTGCCCTCCCAAGTCTGAAAAAATTACAACTTTGTCAGGACAACTAAGGAGAGATTTCATAAAAGTGAATGGAAACCTGTGCCTGATACCTCAGCACAATGCCTTTGGCCCAGAAAGGGATTATTTCATCACTCATTCAATAAACATCTGATGGGCACTTACTATGGGCCAGGTGTTGGCTGAATACTAAAATACAGTACGAGACAGATAAGGCCCCTTCCCCTGGCCCAACTTGCATTTGTGGGGTGCGGGTGGGGGTGGGAAGGTCAAGGGTGTCAGAGGATCCCAGTGAGACAAGGGCTCCTTCAAGTTCAAGGCACCGCTGCACCACCAAGGCCCATACGGAAGACTTCCCGGAGGAGGCGAGATCTCGGGTGAGATCAAGAGCAGGAACTAGCCCGAAGAGGAACGCGTGCTAAAATCAGAGCAGGAAGTACGAAGGCCAGAGGCGGCAGGGCGGCAGGAGGCGCCCCGGGAATAGTTTGACGAGTCGCGCCCGAGGGTGCGCGGGCAAGAGGTAGTGGAGCCAGCCTCTCCCGCGCGCCGCGGCGGCGGACTTCGGGACACCTGGAAGAACTCGCGCGAGGCGAGGTTGCTGGCGCGGGCGAGAGGGACAGGGCCAGGCAGCTCAGGACCGCGGGTGCGGAGGTCGGGTGCACCGGGCGGGGGGGGTCTCCCGCTCACTCAGGCAACCCAGAGACGAGACCCCCGGCGAGCAGATGCCGGGGCGGGAGCCCGGGCGGGCCCGGGACGCGCACTCTCACCGACGGCCAGCGTGATGAAGGCCACCTGGATGAAGAGCGACAGCCAGCTCAGCACGTACATGAACCACATGGCGCCCCTGCCCCGCCCGCCCCCGACCGCCGGGACGGGCCTGCGCGCTCGGGCTCCGGCGACAGAGAGCCGCCGCCACCGTCGCCGCGTCCCCGCCCAGCGGACGGCCGGAGACCGTGCGCGCCGCCGAGAGTAGCCCGGCCCGAGCGCCGCCCAGGGCCGGGTCCGGACTAGCGCCGCCTTCCGGCGCGGAGGGCCAACTACTGCTGCCACGTGTGGCTCGGATCTAGCAGACCACCAGGTGTCCCGCATGCTTTCTAGCGAAAGATCGCCGATGCAGTCTCTGGGTAGGCAAGACGGTCCCCATGGAGGCGACGTGGCACCTGGAGAGGGGCTCGGATGCCGTAACTGGTCCCTCCCTATGCACTCCTGTGCCTGCCTGGTCAAGGGCAGGGGAGGGCCTCTTGATCTTTACCCAGCAATGTGCAGCTAGAAGCCACCAGGCGGGTTGTCCACAGGACTTTTTCTTGCTATGGAAGATAATGGAAACAAAATTGTTGAGTGCTCATGCTTAAGACTAGGGCGTATGTTCATGATGAAAACTGATCCGATGACATATATCATTTTATGGATGGGGAAAAGGGCCAGGGAAGATGAGCTTCCTCAGCTCATACATCTAGAAAGCTGCGATGGCAAGACTTGGGGCGCCTTTGCTAATCAGCTTCAGGCCTAACCCCCTTTAAGCTGTGTTCCTTTTGGGTATAAGCTCCACCTTTGTATCTCCTGCCTCCCGCCCAGTGCAGGGTGCACAAGACCCCCACTGGTGCTGAAGGCATTTTCTATACCCTGGGGGGCACTAGGAGTTGGGCAATCCTTGTCAGGAAGTCCCCTGTCTAGTGGAGAGCTAGACATGCAAAATTAAGTATGTGTAGTGGAAGTCTAGGATGCTCCTCATTTAGGAATATTTTTCATGCATAAAAATAAATATACATTCCTCAAAAAGTTAAACACTGAGTTACTGTATGACTTGGCAATTCCATTCTTGGGTATAAACCCAAAAGTATTGAAAGTGGGGATTCAAACAGATATTTGTACAGCAATATTCATAGCAGCATTATTCACAATAGTCAAAAAGGGGAAATAATCAAAATGTCTGTAACAGATGAGTGGCTAAGCAGGCAGTATATACATACAATGGAGCATTACTCAGCCTGAGATATGGAATTCTGGTTCATGCTACAATATGGATGAACATGGCAGACATTATGCTAAGTGAGATAAATCAGACAAAAAAGAACAGATATTGTATGATTTCACTCACCTGAGATATCTAAAGTAAAATGAAGTTTGCCAGGATTGTGGGACAGAGAGTAATGGTGTATTGTTTAAATGGATATAGAATTTCAGCTGAGGAAGATGAAAAAGTACTGGAGATGGATGGTGGTGATGATCGCACAACGTTGTAAAGGTACTTGATGCCACTTCAAATGCCACTGTGGCTACTCCCAGTTCCTTGTCAGGAAGTTCCTGGAAACTGCCTGCAGGGGGTGCCCACAGGTGGGAAGCAAGGTAGGACACAGCATGAGCCAAATGAGTGGTACCTGGGATCTGCAGAAGACAAAAATAAATACAAAGCAAAGAAATTACATTGAAATACAGGTATCAAAATATCATTTTGGAAAACCCAATGCATGACATAGTAAATAGGTAATTCTTGATTATTGTATCACATTGATAACTAATAACTGCCTATCTAGAATATAATAAGAAATGCGTGTATTTGGTCTCTGCCCCTTATCCCTGACACACAGCCCTAAAGCCCTTGTAATTTCCTGAGTATTGGAGGTGGTAGGAGTGTCTTACACGCCTTGGAATTTCCTGGCTGAGCATCTTTTGTTCTAATGCGGCAACACCTGACTGGCTCCTGAAGAGCTTCAGGGTGGGCAGTGGTCACTAGAACAACCAAGCATGATTAGAAGTGTGAAAACTTCAGTCCCATCCACCTCACCCTCCACCCTCTAGGAAGAAAGACTCGAGATTGAGTTAATAATCAATCATGCCTACATGATAAAACCACCATAAAAACCCCTAAACTATGGGGTTCAGGGAGCTTCCAAGGCAGTGTACACATCCACATGCTGGGAGGATGGGACCCTTCCAGACCTCACCTTATGTTCCTCTTCATGTGGCTGTTCATTTATATCCTTTACAGTAAACGGATAAATTTAAGGAAATGTTTCTGAATTTTGTGAGCCATTTCACAAATTATCAAACCTGAGGTGGGAATATATGGAGCCCCCCCCAACTTTGTAACCAAGTCAGACAGAGTATGAGTACCTCAGGTCTATTAATGTGACTGGCATCGAACTGAAGATGGTCTTGTGGGATTGAGTCCTTCAACCTGTGGCGTCTCGTGCTAACTCCAGGCAGTTAGCATTGGAATTGCATTGAATTACAGGACTTTCAGTTGGTGTCTGGAGAGCTGGGAAATAGGTTGAGGTGGAGATGGTGGGTGGGGATCCACACATTTACTATCAAAAGTGTTGTAGGTAAAAAAACAGTTTTCCTTTACTGGAACAATAATAAAGTGGAGATGAGTGTAAATGATATTTCAAAATATTTTCAATCAGGGCCTCCCTGGTGGTGCAAGGTGTTAAGACACAACCTATGAGGCTATCCGCAGCCTCTGCAGCACGAATTCGATCCCCGGCCAGCCAGGGAGCTACCCACATGGCACAGCAGACTTCTCACTTGCTGCTCCCTTCAGCAGTGTACTTCAGTCTGCCTGTTTTGTTCCCTACTCTGTCTCTGGTGAATCCTCTCATCCCCCACACCTCTGGCCTGTACCCCAGCTCTTGTATGCATAAATAAGTAAATCTTAAAAAAAAACACAAAATATCTTCAATCATATAAGAAGAGTGACTCAGATGCTACTCACTGCTTTGAGTTTTGTTACTTCCACTCACAAGGGAAAGAAATATATCAATTTCAGTTAGAAGTTAGTGCAAAAAAAAATGGGCTTTTTTTCCCTTCCAACTTTTCCAGGGTCCAGAGTTTGTCAGCCTAAATTCTCTCTGAGCCCCTGGTTAAGAATTCCTGAGAGACAGGTATAAGATCAGTGGGAACTTAAAGGGCTGTACGCTTGTGCACAAGGCTCTTTGCCACACTCAGAGTGACTGAAAACAACCTAAATATTGGTTGATAGAAAACTGGCTCCATACATAAAGGTACATCATAAAACAGAGCCATAAAAACACATGAGGACATTCTTTATGTATCCATATCAGAGTATCCCCTTTTGCAAGAAGCAAAAGGATGCAGAAATTCTACATAGGTATTTCTTTGTGTAGACTATCTCTGGAAGGATGGCTAAAAAAGGGTAAGATTGCTTGTTTTCTAGGAAGAGAAAGGGTGGAGGTTCAAGAGTAAGAGGATGTTCTAACTGTATGTCCTTTTATAGCCTTAAAACACTGAACTGTGTAAATATTAATATTTGTAAATGTATTACCTACTCATAAATCAAGTTTAAAATTAAAATGGTCATAGTATGCTGGGCCTGTTAAGGTGTCTCAAATTTCCTCTTGTTACCCACTCCCCTTATGAGAAAAGCAATTGTGTAGTGCCTTACAGATAATTGACTAACCTTGGATCATGTGAGCTGGTCACCCTCGATTGTTCCAACAGGGTGCCTCATGTTCAGATCTTTGCTTTTGGGGAGTGTGAATTTGAGACACAGAACATCAGTGGGTAGAAACACACTAATATCTAAGCTGATCTTACTATTTCCTAAACATTATCCTCCCAGGGAGGGAGGAAAATATAAAAGTATCCCCCCACTCAGCCCCAGAACTGTAGACAAGGGATATTGTCCACAAACTTAGAGCCAAAACTAGCCCAGGAACCAAGGTTGAGGACTGGCATTTTCTCTGAAGGCAGGAAGGGAGGAGTCACTGCTCCCTGAGAGATGTGAGAAGCAAACCAGCACTGATTTCCACCTGTTCCACCCAACCCAACAGGGCAATGCAGGGTAAGGGATACACTTTGAGACCCAGGCTTAGGTAGGGAGGGGGAGGGGAGCAAATCAAGCATCTTTTGAAGGAGGGATGGGAGGGAGAAAGAGGGTCCCTACACTGAATTCCACAGGCTCAATAATGAATGGGCTTGTAGATTCAAAGGTGACTGATTCGTTTATGGACAGATCTCAGTAACTCCATATGCTCAGTCTGACGCCACACACGCCTTTCACTAACTCATGTTGCCACTGATGCCTGCAGGCGTGGGCAGTTTCCCATGGATCTCCTGAGGAAGTTCTAGGGGAAACTAGCTCTTTCAACAACACATAAAGCTTTTCCTGAGAAAACAATAACTGCTAGTGTTGGGGGTTGACGTGGGGAGTCTTGGATTCCTCTGAGAAAGCATTCAGCAGTCTTCATTCAGCAGCACAAGGCAAGTTTATTAAAGAAAAAAGGCATTTGCACAGACACAAACTGGCAGTCTTTGGGGCACAGAATTTTTTTTTTTTTTTGCTAGAGCACAGAATGTCCTTACATATTGTTCTTTGACTACTTTGTGGAATTTTATCACTTGGTGAAATTTATTGCTCTGGGGTTGAGTTGGGACGGTTTTCTATAACTGCTGATAACCCTCTCTACCTCCACCTCCAATTCCTGGCCTTTTGAAACTTCTGTAGCCGGTTTAACCACTTGTTAATCATTTCTACCTCCACCTTTGGTTTCTGGCCTTGTGAAACTTCCATCCTAAATTTTCTACTCTAAGTTTCCATCACTAGTATTGATAGTACTCTTACTTTATGTTAGACACTATTCTGATTTCTAGGTGTTAACCCATCTAAAGGGCACACCAAGTATAGAAGACAGTGCTATTATTGTTTTCTCTTTTCCTCAGTAGAAACTGAGAAACAGAGGTTAGAACTTTGTCCAAGGTCATAGAGCTAGTATTTGGAGAAGCCAGGGTATGGAACAGGCATTTAGCTGGTGCTGTGATTCCAGTCGCCCTCCTGGCTGGGGTCTAAAGGGAATGAAGAGGGTAACATGTGGAAGTGGGCTGCTGACTTCCGGTCTGGCTGTGTTGACAGCTGCCTTCTAGCAGCAGTCAGAA